TCTATTGGGTAATATGGCCTGTTTATTCTGTGTATTGAGCTCATGTGAAGATGGAAACCAGAGCAGAAGCCATCAGAGTTGGCAGCCCCAGGTGCTGCTCAAGGGCCACATGTGGTGCCATGGGGGCTTCATGGGAAGGCAGGACAGTGCAAAGGACACACACGTCCCTCCCAGGAGTTCTCCTCTGTGCTGGCCAGGAAGGGAGGCCACCACAGTGTGCCCTGCAGCAAGAAGCATCATGGCTCTGGACATCCTCGAGCACAGGATCAGTAGAGGTTTGCAGGCAATCACTAGGAAGCACAGCCATGTCCTGCAGGGACAGCACAGCCCTGCTTGCTGCCCCGCTCCTGCGGAGCCACCATCATGCACCAAAGAAGCACCAGTAGCCCAGGGGAAAAGCAGGACTGCACCACAGGAGAGACAAAGCTCCTCTTGGAGACCCCAAGCACAAATGCCAGAAACCTTGAGATGCACCAGCACCCACAGACGCTCCCTGAGCGCTGCTATGCGTGGCCATGCTGCTCCATCCCCAAACACCACACTGCCCCTACAGCCCCCACAAGCAGCACAAAGGATGCCTGACCTCCCCAGCAGCAGCTCCCCCTTACCAGCCAGGTCCTGCTCCCCGAGCCAGGACAGCCCTCTACACCCTCCACAGCTGGGGCAGGTTCTGCAGGGATGGACCAGCCCTACCACCCTCCCTGCATTTATAGCCCACAGATGCCCCACAGCCCTGGCAGCACGAGTCCCACCTGGGGACTGTGGCATGGGACGGGTGCAGCCACACACACTGCAGCAGGGAATGGGGACGGACGGGGCGTTATCAGGGAAACGCGTGGCTTTCCCTGTTACAGGTTATAAAACATTCCCAGGGCACATCAAGATGAAATGCATAATTGCGAATCAGCCCTGCTGCTCTCCTGCATCTCCAGACCTACGCAAAGGCAGGGAAGCTTTAATGTCTTCCTTTTGGAGCTTGCTTTTTTTTTTCATATTTTTGTTCTTTCCCTTCTGTCATCCTAAATTTGGTAAAAAAGAAAAAGGAGTAAATAAAAATTTTGGAAAGCTCTTGCAACCCTGCTCTTCCTGGCTTATGGAATGGTTGGGATGGAGGGGGAGGCCCAGGGCACAGGAACCACAACACTTTGGACAGCTAGATTTTCAAAACAAAAATGAGGTTAGAAATGGAAACTTTGGTTAACTGAGATGGGGATGAAATCTTCATTTTGCACTTGGCAGCAAAGCCAGATCTCCATCACCCTCATGCTCTGGCACTTCCCCCATTTAGCCTGGCGCCCCAAAGGCATTTCTGCAGCTCTGGCAGCACAGGGGATCTTGCCATCGTCCTCTGAGCAAGCAGATATGGCTACACCACTACCCAAATGCTCTTGGGAGCTCACTTAGAAACACTTCCCTGAGGAAGCGCCAGCAGCATGCTGGGGAGCAGATAGATGTCAAGTGCTCGCCTGAGTTTTTAAGGCCGTTCTCCCAGCACCTGCTGTCCTGGGGGAAAATATCACCTTCCAGGTTTCTGCATTTTTAGCAATCTGAGATAGACACAAAGAAGGGAAAAAGTCATAAAAGCCCACCCCAGCAGTGCGCAATAGCAGACACACAGAAGACATCAGCACAGCTCAGCATCATCTTTTATAGCTTTATTTCCAGAAGTCTTGTGCAGAAAGATACAGCGTGACACCTGTCCCTGAGCCTCCGCGGGAGTTTTCTGGGGGCATTGCCGAATGATTCCTGACCCCGCGGCACCTCCTGTGCAGGGATTGCAGTGCGCCGAGGTGAGCGGTCGGAGCCCCACCACCCCGGCCGGCCAGCGGTCCCCAGTAGTGCCGCTTCCCAGGCAGCACCGCAGGGTCCCGTCCGGTGAGACCCCCCAGCCTCTGCCTGAGACTGGCAGCAGCA